ATGTAGTAGTATGTAGTAGTATGTAGTAGTGTGTAGTAGTGTGTAGTAGTATGCAGTAGCATGTAGTAGTATGTAGTAGTATGTAGTAGTATGTAGTAGTATGTAGTAGTAGCAGCAGCAGGAGAAAGAGTACTACTGGTAGTAGTCGTCCTCCTCCTCCTCCTCGTAGTGGTTGTGGTCGCGGTCGTGATAGACGGTGGCCATCGAAGTGGCAGTGGCAACGAAGGAGGAGGGTATCTAATATGACAGAAACTAGTGCCAGTATTGTTCTTAGTGACACTGGCGCAACGACCATTGATTAACCGGACGGCCGGCTTATTATCTTTGCCTGGTTCTCCATGTCAGTTTGTTCACGTCCAGTTGGGAACCTTCGCATCCTGAGTACTTCCCTCGCCGTGTCTTTGGCCCATGAGAGTCCCCGGTCGAGGATGCTCTGCCCAGAACGAGTGAGAGGCTTCAGTCATTCGGTGTGGGTTTAGGGTTTAGGCTGCGAGTTCCTGTTTAAGGCCTTCAACTGATATGGCCAGCAGGCCTGCGACTGCGAATCCCTCTGACGCACAATGCATTTCTAGATAGCGCTTCCGAAATCCTGTGAATCCAAACTGCGAACCTTACTGCAAAATCCGAAATTCGTTGAACCCGAGCTTTTGAGGATCGTAGTAGTCATTAGAGTCATGAGCTTTGGTATGGTTGTAGCAAGGATGGCTATTCGAGCCGGGCCTCCTCGACCTGCTCAGACAGTCACCTAATCTTCCAAGCAGACCCTAAAACTGAAGCCGAAGACCCCAAGCCCTCCAAGTTGAGGTTATGGGCTACCTGCTCTGGGCCTGGTTGACTGCCGGAGCTGTCTCCGCCATTGTGCACTGCTGCGTCATGCCGTGACCGAGACTCACAGGATCTTTTCTAAAGAGGGCTCAGGGTTTATATAGAGGGTGAGGGTTAAATATGGGGTTGTATGAGGGCTTCTTGTTTTGGTCTAGGGTGGGTTAAGGGTTGCACGGGGTCGTGCCTTTGCTTTCGCGAAGGTATGTGCTCATTGGAGATGCCGCTTTGCGCCGATTTGCCGACCTCGGGGGGAAAGCGAAGAAGACTTGAAGTGGAAAAAGACAGCTTTCGCTGCTGTTGAATGTCCTCATCCTGAGAGTGTTGTCGTTGTTGCGCTGTCGCCATGTTCATGGAGAGCATGGCCGTGATTCCGAGCATGATCGAGACAGCTTAAGTCTTAAGTAATTTGTAACCTTGCGTTGATAGTTTTACGATCTTCGTCTCATGGCCACTGATTTAACAGTTACGGCTGGCCGTCTTAGGTTTCTTGCTCCGGCATGTATTTCTGGGTGCTCAAAGCTTTTGATGCAGGCTTTGGAGGTACTAAGACTTACAGTACCTTTTAACACACTGTTGCGACACGAGCTTACTTCGCATCTCGTTGCAGGAGGTTTCGCGAATACCCCGACAACCTTCAGCGCTCAAGCCCGAATCCCGAGCTCCTCAAGCCCCATTACCGCCAAAACCCTAAATCCTGCAAGTCGAACGGTCGCACCCCAAACCTGCCTTCGACCCGACAATACCCGCATGAATCCGGGCAGGTCCGCTCATTTCGCGGATCCGCCAAGGAAGCGTGCCTTCTCATCGAGAGCCGGGGCCAGGCAAAGGGGCCGGCTTGGGGTTAGAAATTGGCAAGGCAGGGCTGAAAACACGCGTGACATGATTGCTGGAGTTCGTAGTACGATTACAACTGCTACCTGTTGAAGCTGAGACCGCTGGGGGTTCTCGGAGCACTGGGGTACATCCGCATACCTGGATGCGCATGAGCACGTATCAAGTCACGCGATGCTGCAGAAGTTGATATTTTGTATCACATGCAGTAGGATATTGTTGTCTCGCAGCATCTATGTGACATCCATGTAAACGCTGCTATATACCATGCCATGTCCTGTCATGTCATGTCATGTCATGTCATACCATGCCATGTCTTGTCATTCCACATGTCATCGTCATGTCGTGCCAGGTAATGCAATGAAATGGAATGCAATGTAGCAAAATGGAATGCAACGGAATGCGTGGAATTCAACGCAACGCAATGTGATGCACTGCAATGCAATGTAATAGAATTTAATGTGCAGCAGCCCATGCTTGGAAAGATGGCGCCGAAATATTATGTTCTCCGTCTGCCTCGTTGATCATGTGCAGCGACCTCTAAGTTTACAGCACCTTGCTCGAAGTGTTTGATGGGTAATGTAATGCGGACTTCTGGAGCTTGGGTGAGCATCGCTCTGAATAGCTCACGGACTGTACCCGCGTAGACCCTCAACTGTAACCTCCAGAAGTAAAATGAATATCGCCTGCGCATCACAAGCATTGAGTTTGAGGGCTGCACGCTTGCAAGACTCAGACAGTAGATATTGATTCCACTACATTGCGATCTGGTGCTTCTCCGAAATCCAGGTCTAGATATTGGCATCTGGTGTGGCGGGCTTGTGCCAGTGCATCGTAGGCTAGGGGCACCATAGCAAGAATATGCCCAAATTCAATACGAATCCCAGCTAGCCGGGTGAAAGCTGATAGACACGCAGGCACACACAAAACAACAATATGTGCACCTGCATACATGCATGCATACGATACGATACGATACGATACGATACGATACGATACGTACACACATACATACATACATACATACATACATACATACATCATACATACATACATACATCCTTCCTTCTTTCCTTCCTTCCCTACTTACCTACCTACCTACCTACCTACATACATACATACATACTTCCTTCCTTACTTACTTACTTACTTACTTACCTAGATACATACATACATACATA